CACCAGCACCATAATGCTGCCAGGAAAGCCCCATCCCTGGTGGCCTGAGCGATGGGAGGTGGTCCATGGACAGTCCCTACACACCGCAGTCCAGGCAGACCTTCCTGTGCATTAAAGCATCCTACACGTGCCAGAGGCCACCAAGCCCAGCAGCGTGGCCTGCCAGCGTGCTGATGCTCTGGCTGCACGCAGGCAGGAGCAGGCAGGAGCTCTGGAGCCTCTTCCCCTTCTTCTTTCCATCTGCACAGCGCTCTGAGTCACGGTCTCCCCTCTGCTGCCTGCAGAGAGATTGCAGCATCAGGCGATGGGCAGCCAGAAGCTGCCAGAGAGGTTCCCCAGGAGCTCTCCGTGCCACAGAAAGGGGAATTGTCCCTCCTGGTGCTCTGCAAGGAGCCCAGGCACCTTCTCTCCCCTTTAGCTGACAGCCCCTGGATTTCTTAACTCTCTCATGGCAGCCAGAAAATTTTTTTCAAGGCATTTCATCACTTCTTTTGCTGGGCTCTTCTCACTGACCCCTCTGCCTCCTTCCTCCTCGCTCTCTGCATTCCAGCAGCTCGGAGGAGGAAGGTTGGAGAGAGCGTCTCGGTTCCCCAGCCCTGGATTTAACTCCTCCCCAAGGAAGCACCAAACAAGGAGGAAAATGTCTACAGTAGAGATAATACCTAACAACCAAACGGCTTCCACAGCAGCAGTGGTGTGCTGGTTGGTTCCTCAGCCATTCCTGCTCCTGAACCTGGAGACTGGACTTTGCAAGGAATGGGCCAAACTTCCAGGTGGTTGCCAACACTCAGCTATGAGTTTGTTGAGTGACACGGGGCAGCTCTGCAACCCTCCCTGTAGTCTCTTCATGTAGCTTTCCTCCCTAACTGCTCCATAAATGCAGTACTCCAGACCCTCCTCTCTTATCCATCCGTGTGAATAGCTCCTGTGAAGCTGGAGGGATATCACCAGAATCAGCATAAACAAGAGGAGAATGAGGATCCTCCCCTATTAAGACCAGATAAAAACACTGAGCCTCATGATCTGAATTCCTTCCAAGGGAAGCCCAACTTCCAGGCCAAGAGCTGGCACCCCAGCCTGGCTGGTGGCTTTGGGAACCCTTGCTGAGATAAATCCCTAGGCAGAAATGGAGAACCAGAAAGCTCTTCACGCTGTTGCTGCTCCTTGTGATGGTCCAACAATGTAGTTATCTACCGTGGCATGAAAAATATTGTGGGTATCATGACATCTACAGCCAGTGCATTAGATGCTCTTGCTTGTCATTCCCACTAGAAAAATAATCTTGGAGACGCTCTCCACCAAGGTCCGTGCTCAAGAAACTCCATCCCTCTGTTGCTTTTTGAAGATGCCCCACAATTTCTTGGTCTGGCTTCCTGCCCCTAACCAATAAAATCTTGCAACACTCCACCTAATCCCCGTGTTTTCAATCAAAGGATAACTCAATGCAGACTTTTCAGAGGGCTGTCCTGCCTGCCATGTGGTTTGGTGCCTCAGGCAGTTGCCTCCAGACTCCAGCTGTTTTTATTACCTAAGTGGGTTTGATTGCTCCTTCATTTGTGCCTGAACGAGAGCCCTTGGCACCCTCGTGGGCTTTAATGGGGTCTGTGTGTTCTAGCTACCAATTAAACCCGCTGGCAGCGATTAACAGCTCCCAGCCTAACGCAGAGGCAGAGCAGAGGGGACACGGCTCTCCAGGTCTGCGGGAGAGGAGCCGGTGGAAAAGGGACACGACTTTCTGCAGGAGCTGGAGCACAGGGTCCTTTCCCTCCTCTGGGCTGGAAACGGCTCTGTCCCCAGGTGACTGCTGCCACTTCCTTCTCATCAGCAGAGGTCGGGCTCAGAGTGTCCTGGGACCACTTTGTGCGGGACCAGACACGGTTTCTGGCAGCGGGTGGGTGATGGTGACAGTGATGGTGGGCAGTCAAGGGTGGATGTCACCCCCAAGTGTGGGCAGAGACGTCAGGGGACCGCCATACGGACCAGCTGTCAGGACTGCTCCTGGAAAATGTCGTGTGGGGTGGTGTAGAGATCAGGAAATCAGTGTATGGAGGGTCTCCCCCCGTCTGGTCAATGTGACAGGTAAGGGGACCATTCTCCCCCCATCCCTTTTCCTTGAGGTCCTTCCCAGGGCCTGGGCAGGTGGAGGCAGCCAAAAATGGCAAATTTCTAGAGCTATGAGTTTGTTGAGTGACACGGGGCAGCTCTGCAACCCTCCCTGTAGTCTCTTCATGTAGCTTTCCTCCCTAACTGCTCCATAAATGCAGTACTCCAGACCCTCCTCTCTTATCCATCCGTGTGAATAGCTCCTGTGAAGCTGGAGGGATATCACCAGAATCAGCATAAACAAGAGGAGAATGAGGATCCTCCCCTATTAAGACCAGATAAAAACACTGAGCCTCATGATCTGAATTCCTTCCAAGGGAAGCCCAACTTCCAGGCCAAGAGCTGGCACCCCAGCCTGGCTGGTGGCTTTGGGAACCCTTGCTGAGATAAATCCCTA